CCCCCCCCCCCCCCAATGGAGAATGGCAGAACTGCAGGCTGCATACAAGTGATCTACAGTTTGCTGAATGAGCCAACAATTTGGTCATTTCATCTGCCTGCCAAACTTCCACCTGTGTCCTAGAAACCAGTGATGTCATGCAACCCACGCACCATGCAAGGGTCACTGGCTGCATGGTGCCTGAGCCACACAGGGTCACTGGCTGCATGGTGCCTGAACCACACAGGGTCACTGGTTGCTGGGACGGAGGAGGCACACCATAAGGACCTACGATGCTATGGGGCCTCCAGCTTCTTAGCAACTAATGATGCTATGCAGGTCATACAGCTTCACTGATCAGTAAGATGCTGATGGCACCATAGCATCATGAGTATTATGGTGTGCCCAACTGTGTCCTAGCAACTAATGAGGCTGGGCAGGTCATACAGCTTCACTGATCAATAAGATGCCGGTGGCAACATAACATCATTGAGTATTATGGTGTGCCCAACTGTGTCCTACCAACTACTGATGCTTTGCAGGTCAAACAGCTTCACTGATCAATAAAATGCTGATGGCACCAAAGCATCATGAGTATAGTGTGCCCAACTGTGTCTAGCAACTAATGTGGCTGGGTAGTCCAGCCACTAGCGTTCTAGAAAGCCTGAACAGCATCATTGGTTGGTAGGACACAGGTGGACCTGGGTTTGTGTCACTCAGATGTCCACCGAACACAGCCAGAAATCCGGGTTCCGTGAATGTCCAAGTGAAATGACCCCAGGCCAGTTCAGCCATCACCAGGGCAGCCATCAGAAATTTTGGGGCCCCTTACACGGCTTTAGGCCGGGCCCCCCCCCTCCGTGGCGCTGGACGCAGGGCTCAGAGACACGCTGGACGCAGGGCTTAGTGACGTGCTGGACGCAGGGCTTAGATGCTGCACAGCCTATCTGAGACTCTCTATGGTGGGCTCTGAAGGGGTCTCAGGTGGGCTGGTCAGGGCTGCATCCCTCCCCTCCCTCCTTTCCTTCCTTCCTTCCTAGCTCCTCTTACCTGCACACATGGCCTCCTCTGCCGCCGGACCGGCCAGAAGTGATGTCACTTCCGGCCAGTCCGACATCAGACGAGCATCGTCGCTGATGGGGCACTAGCTTGTCTCAAAGCCGCTGGAGCGGCAATGCTGGGGCCCTGCGCTGCTAGGGCCAGGCCTCCGCCTCCTCGCCCTTCACCGTCGGCCGATGTAAGCCCCCCAGGCTGCCTGGGCCCCTTACATGAGTATCGGCCGTACCCCCCTGATGGCTGCCCCGGGCCATCACTATTCTAAAGGCCAAAGGATTCCCACCGTGTCCTTTGTTTGTAATGCAAATGAATGGTTCTGAGATTGACCACTAATAGTCCAGGTGCAAATGTTTTCCCAAATAAAATCAGATGGAAGACCACTAAGGAAAGCTGATGCGTTTCAGGGGCCAAAACTCGTCCCGTTCGCCAGGACTACAAAACAAAACAACTCAATGTCTTCAGATAACAGCCTGTGAGCTGACTCTTGGGAATCCTGTCTGCGATATGTAAACTGTTCCTGCAGGGAAATGATTTTTTACAGAATTGTGTCTTGTCTGCACGTCGAAATAAAAGGTTTTTTTTTATTAGCTCGTGTGGCAGTTATATATGATTTTTATGAAGTTTTTCTCCTGTCTGCTTTCCCTTCCAGAATATGGAGAAGGTCCTCGTCCCTTCGGTCACTCTGATTGTTGGCTGTGGTGTTTCCTCGCTCACCCTTCTGCTTCTCATCATCATCTACGTGTCAGTATGGAGGTAAGTCATAATATATTGTGGTGTGACCGACTATACCAATCTTACTCAGGTTTTGCTATAGAGAAACAACCATTAATATAATTGTTAGATCTGAAGGAACCCCCACTAAAACATTATGAGGGTTATTCACAAAGCTAGCCGAAGGATCAGCCGGACTCAGGCTGATCCTTCGGCTAGCTTCGGCCACCGGAGCCCTTCGGTTCTGTAGAACTGAAGGGCTACTGTACGGACTATTTACTATAGCCCGTACAGCTCCCAAAGCTGGCCAAGCGGCTCAGCCGAGCCGAAGGCATATGCATCAGCTCGACTGAGCCGAAGTGAAACGCGAAGCCTCGCAACTGACAGCTGGGTATCTCACGACAGTTGCAATGACAGATCAGCGCCCCATGGGGACGCTGAACTGTCATTAAACAATGACAACTTGGCGGAGCCGGCCGTGACATCACGGCCGGCTTCGCCCAGTTGTTATTCATTGGTCGGGACCTGCTGGAAGACTCTAGCAGGTCCAGGCCAATAGGAAACAGTTGAGTAGAGCTAGCTGTCACTTCTAGCTCCGCCGAATTGTTTCTTTCTTTTTTTTATTTTTTCAATCATTTTTATTTTTTTCTTCTTTATTTTAAAAATCTTTATTTATTTATAAAGTAGGGTAGCCCTACTGCAAGGGTTAATAATAATTTCCCCCAGAGTTCTGCTTTAAGTGCTTATATGCTAACGTTAGATTCGCTTGTTGGAATGAGTTTGTCAGAACTGATGGCTGTACTTGGTTTTCTTGGAATGTCTTGTTGTGGAACATGGGGACAGTTGGTCTCCTCGTTCTACAGTGACATGGGGGCAGTTGGTCTCCTCGTTCTACAGTGACACGGGGGCAGTTGGTCTCCTCGTTCTACAGTGACACGGGGGCAGTTGGTCTCCTCGTTCTACAGTGACACGGGGGCAGTTGATCTCCTCGTTCTACAGTGACACGGGGGCAGTTGGTCTCCTCGTTCTACAGTGACACGGGGACAGCTGGTCTCCTCGTTCTACAGTGACACGGGGACAGTTGGTCTCCTCGTTCTACAGTGACATGGGGACAGTTGGTCTCATCGTTCTACAGTGACACGGGGACATTTGGTCTCCTCGTTCTACAGTGACATTAGGACAGTTGGTCTCCTCGTTCTACAGTGACACGGGGACAGTTGGTCTCCTCATTCTACAGTGACATTAGGACAGTTGGTCTCCTCGTTCTACAGTGACACGGGGACAGTTGGTCTCCTCGTTCTACAGTGACATGGGGACAGTTGGTCTCCTCGTTCTACAGTGACATGGGGACAGTTGGTCTCCTCATTCTACAGTGACATGGGGACAGCTCGTCTCCTCTTTCTACAGTGACACGGGGACAATTGGTCTCCTCGTTCTACAGTGACATGGGGACAGCTCGTCTCCTCTTTCTACAGTGACACGGGGACAATTGGTCTCCTCGTTCTACAGTGACATGGGGACAGCTCGTCTCCTCGTTCTACATTGAGGTATTTGGAACCCTGGAGGTCGGTGAAGCTAATAAGGAGTTGTGAGATAAGAGAAATAATGTCTCCTGTGATGATTGATTTGCTGCTTGTGACCATTCTTAAGTATGTAACATGTTTATTTTTGGGAGGGTCCTACGTGGCAGCTGTCCAGGATTGGACCTTAGAGGCCTCACATGGGTCAGATCCTTGGTGGACTTGCCACGTCTGAGGATATCTACGCACATTCATTTCTCTTCTTTGTAATCTTTATTGTTACTTTGTAACTTTTCTCTTCTAAATGAAGTCCAGACCTCCACCGTACACTAAGGTTGTTGATTTCCTTATCATTAAAGCTAAACTAACGATGAGCTCATTCCCATCTCTTCTTTTAGGTACATCCGGTCGGAGCGCTCCGTCATTTTGATCAACTTCTGCTTGTCCATCATTTCTTCGAATGCCTTAATACTTGTCGGGCAAACGCAGACCAGGAACAAGGTAGGATATGAAGGTGGAAGGGGGATTGTAGTTTACTTACCGTGGCCTCTGCACAGCCATATTGTAATACACAAACTCTGAACCTGCTGATAGGAATTGCTGACACTAGGGATGCACCGATACCGATACTAGTATTGGTGCCAATGCCGGGTATTTGGGCGAGTACTCTAGCCCGATACTGGAGCTTCCGGTATCAGGAAGCCGACCAGTGAGTCATTACACGGTGCCTGGCTTCCTGATTGGCCGGGAAGCCATCTCCATGCTCCCTCGTCACTTGTGGAGTCGGCCAATCAGGAAGCCGGGCAGAGTGTCATTACATGCCCTCCGGCTTTCCGATTGTCCAGAAAGCCGGCTTCATTCGCCCTCGTCAGAGCATGGAGCCGGCTTCCCCGCCAACAAGGAAGCCGGGCGCCATGGAATGACGTGTTGCCCGGATTCCTGACTGGCCAGCTTCTCAACCAATCAAGAAGCCGGGGCAACACGTCATTACACGGTGTCCGGCTTCCTGATTGGCCAGAAAGCTGGTTCCATGCTTCCTCATCACCAAGTGACGAGGGTGGGTGGAGACGGCTTGCCTGCTGATCGGGAAACCGGGCGGCGAGTCTCTAGATGCCGCCTGGCATCCTTAATGGGACTTCACTGCAGGGTGACACCACATACATGCCGTGTCTAAATAGATGGGATTCCTTAATGTAAAGCCCATGGAAAATACTGCACGTTAACATGCATGCAAATTATGCACCACAGATCAGGAGCATGGTGTGAAGTGAGCCTAATGCCCAGTAGCAACCTCATACTTATCTCTTCATGTGATCCTGCAAGTCTGCATGTTATGGTTTGTGATGGATTTCCGTTTAGAAAATGCCTTAAAATATATTTTTTTTCTTTCAAAATGTTGCTTCTCGCCCTCACCGTGCAGTGCTCTGTGCTGGCAGAGCTGAGGAACTGCTACACCCCTTAGAGATAGAGAGGGGGCGTGCCTGTGGCTAGTTATATTATTGAGTGCTGATTACTGAATGCATCGGGTGCTTTTTGGGTTGTGCAGTCATATTTAGACACGCGTTAAGTCTGAAGGACTATTTATTTCTGTACGATTTTGGTTTTAAAGGAGAAGTATGAGGTGAGTGAAAATCACCCAGCCTCGTAGTCCTAGCCGACCTGTTACAATGAGACTATCACAGGTCGGCTCAATAGATCGGGAGGTGAGCGAACACATACCGTCGCTCGCTCACTTCTCGATCTATCCCTGCAGAGAGCCGTGACTGTCACTCACGGGTCCCTGCAGGGATTCTCCCCTTCCCCTGTCCGATCCTTCAGCGCTGACTGGAGGAACGGACGGGGGAGGGGGCGGTTACAGCTGGCTCTGCCTCTAGATAGGCAGAGCCAGCTGTCAGTCTCACACCCGCCCCAGCTGCGCGTCTCAGTATACCGCGAGCTGCAGCTCGCAATATACTGAGCTTTGGGTGACGGGAGGACGCTAGTATATGTCCTCCCTTTACCCTTAGACGAATTATGGGGAAAAGACTTAACCCCATAGTTCTCCTTTAATTACACTCTCACTAGCTGCATATACCTTCCTACACTTCCCCACATGAGAGAGCAAAGAGAAGACGTCTTCTGTTAGCTCTAAGTTGATCGTGTCGTAGCTTAATCAGGGCTAAGGATTCCCTTCCTGCCCACATGTGATAGTGCTCAGACCTGGCATCTTAGCAGTAAGGGAGGGAGTCACATGCCCCCCCCCCCCATACCTGGAAGTAAGGCCGCATTGACCTTTATGGGCCAAGCACAGGTTCATGGTAAGAAAAGGCTCCAAAAACTAAGTACCACTTGGCGTTATCCAATAGGAATGCTGATGCAGTGAAGTCACAATGACACGCATAGATTATTCCTCCTTAGTAAATAACAGTACCAAATTGTACATTAATCCCTTCTCGCCCAAGCGCCGACCCAGAATTCTCAGCTCCACAGCAGAGGCGCTCATGTCACACACGAATGGGCTTCCTCATTGCTCCGCAGCACCCTGCTCCCTTATCTACGCGCTACATGTGTGTTCCACTAGCGCGCTCTCAAGTCCGCCGTCCATCACGCCAATCCACAGCGGATGCATTTACGACGAATACCCCCTAATTAGACAGAGCAGCCATAAAATGGAGATGGCCGAATCTGCTCTCAAGAGCCGCGGCCTGTCAGAGAGACGGGATGGCTGTAATTAACGCAAAAACACAATCAATTAACTCTGCAGCGGTATATTTCGCACGGCTGAGCGTGTTTTACTTGTTGTTCGGCAACGACAAGAAGGACCCGTGATTGACTGAAATGCTCTTAGGCTTTGGGCATGTGAGAATATAAGCAGCAATAGTCATGTGACTGCACAACGCCACCTCCAAATTTGCAGGAACGGGGGATTGTGGGAAGAGAAGTAGAAGTATAAGGCTTTTCAAGAACGTCCACTCTAGCCAAAGATCATGTGATCTTCTTCCTGGGCTTTAGGTCACATGAAGGGGCTCAGGAGATTTTACTTCTTTACTCAAAATATTCATGACTAGAAATTGCTGACTTGTGTCCTAGAGGTTCCTCCAAAGTGTATTTATTTTACTATTGATCCCCTTTAAAGGAGAACTATGGGGTTAAGGCTTTTCCCCATAGTTCTCCTAAGGGTAAAGGGAGGGCATAAACTAGCGTCCTCCCGTCACCCTAAGCTCAGTATATAGGGAGCTGCTGCTCGCTTTATACTGAGACGCCGCGGCTGAAGCGGATCCAGACAATTATGCCTGGATCCGCCCAGCTGCGTGAGTGACACCTGGCTCCTCCTATCTAGAGGCAGAGCCAGCTGTACCCGCCCCCTCCCCGTCCATTCCGCCAGTCAGCGCTGGAGGATCGGAGCGGGGAGGGGGGAATCCAGCCCCTCCCCTGTCACGGCAGAGAGCCGTGAGAGGATCGAGAGGTGAGCGAACGCCTGTATGTGTTCCCGATCTACTGAGCCGACCTGTGACAGTCTCATTGTCACAGGTCAGCTAGAACTATGAGGTGAGTGGAAATCACCCCCCTCATAGTTCTCCTTTAAGGTTAAGGGCAGAGGAAAAATTCAACACTCCTTTGACTACATGCAGCAGATCCTTGTGCCCAGCAGCAAAGTCTGATGGGAAATAATGCAAGGGTGGTAGCCATGTTGGCCCAATGGCTTTATCCTGCTCTAGGTGATTTATCTGATGGCTCAGCTCCGACTTCATGTTCACAATGTCAGGGGTCACCCCTCTGCAACCTAAAACTCCTTATCTGTAAGACAGGTTCTACCAGGGTTATTCATAAAGCTGTGGAAGGCACAGCTTTATGAAGTGAATAACCGAGTGAAGAACCGTGATAAACGCGTGAATAACCGAGCCGAAGTGAACGGAGCCAAATGATGTTCGGCTATTCACTCCGGCTCAGCACGGCTAAATTCAGCCGTACATCGGCTGCCTTCGGTCAGAGTCCCTCTGAGCCGATGTGCAGAGGGACTTCGACTCGGCCGATCCAACATCTGGATGGGCTGAGCCGAAGCTCCGGCAGCTCGCTCGCTGCCATTCGCACCCGATTCTCATATATTCTCATAGGGGCCGAACGGCAGCGAGTGAATAGCCGAATGCCGCCGAGTGGCATTGGGCTCGGCTATTCTGCTCGGTGCCTCAGAGGTACAGAGCAGAATAGAAAATCAGTGAAAAGAGTGAAAATATTTAAATAATGTGAACAAATGGTAAAATAAAAAAATTAAATAAAGATATTTTTTTTTAAAGAAAAACAATTGGGCGGAGCTAGCAGTGACAGCTAGCTCCACCCAACTGTTTCCTATTGGCCGGCAGCTGCCAGAGTCTTCTAGCAGGTCCCGGCCAACGTATAACAACTGGGCAGAGTTGGCAGGGACGTCACGCCCAGTTGTTATTGTTAAATGACAGATCAGCGTCCCCAGGTCATTCGAGGACGCCGATCTGTCATTGCAACTGGGCGGTGCCAGCGGTGAGATCATTGCTGACTCCGCCCAGCTGTCATTTGCAGGCGAACGGCCGTCCTTTGGCAGCTCGTTTGCCCCTGCTTCGGCTGTCAAGCTTTGAGTCAAGCCGAAGCATATGCCTTTGGCTCGGCCAAGCCGCTCGGCTGCTGTACGGGCTATTCACAGCCCGTACCAGCTGTGTAGCTTGGCCACCTGAGCTCTTCGGTGGCCGCAGAATCAACCGAAGAGAGCCGAAGAGAGCCGCAGGCTACAGGTGTACCCTTCGGCTAAATAGTGACTAGCCCTCTATATTTGTAATACTACATTTGTCAAAGTGTATCTAAAGTGAAACCATTTCCCGGTTTGCTCTAGTCACCGTGGTCACCCAGACAGAAGTTGACAGGAAATCCAAAAATGTACAGTTGTCCCCGGGAATAATGGGGGTCTCTTTCTTTAAAATACTGTTACGGTGACAGCAGTCTATGAAGGGATTTCCCATCACTTACAGGAGATTGGAGTGTGAAGGGAAATCTCCTCCGTGGTACAAATAAAAAAAACCCTCCGGACCATTTCCTACTTTATAAATGAAAAACCAAAATAAGTTTTGGCGAGAGATACGCTTTTTAAACGATAGTTCGATTTTGAGGTGCAATTTTGAGGTGCGAAGGAGTCCAGGGCAGCCATCAGGGGGGTACGGCCGGGTCCCTTACATGACTATCGGCTGACGTTGAAGGGCGAGGAGGTGGAGGCCTGGCCCTAGCAGCGCAGGGCCCCAGCATTGTGGCTTTGAGACAAGTTGGGCTCCATCAGCGACGATGCTCGTCTGATGTCGGACTGGCCGGAAGTGACGTCACTGGCCGGTCCGGCGGCAGAGGAGGCCATGTGTGCAGGTAAGAGGAGCTAGGAAGGAAGGAAGGAAAGGAGGGAGGGGAGGGATGCAACCCTGACCAGCCCACCTGAGACCCTTCAGAGCCCACCATAGACAGCCTCAGATGGGCTCTGCAGGGTCTAAGCCCTGCGTCCAGCACGTCACTAAGCCCTGCGTCCAGCGGCGCGGAGGGGGGGGGGCCCGGCCTAAAGCCGTGTAAGGGGCCCCAAAATTTCTGATGGCTGCCCTGTGCACGCCTTCTGTGTTTGCTCCTCCCACTGTCTTTGTTAAATTTCAGTTTATTTTATATTATGAGAAATGAAATAAGAGTTACGAAAAGACCTCCAGCCAACGGGTGACCTTGCCCATAGTATGCCACCGAAATATCGCACAAATCTAACAAACGTTGTGACGGACTGTGCACTGACACGACCTCTGTGTACCACAGGTGATCTGTACCCTGGTGGCGGCCTTCCTCCACTTCTTCTTCCTGTCTTCATTCTGCTGGGTGCTGACCGAAGCTTGGCAGTCCTACATGGCAGTGACGGGGCGGCTGCGGAACAGGATCATCCGGAAACGCTTCCTCTGCCTCGGATGGGGTGAGATCGCTTGTTCCTTCTTTGTATGTTGTCCGCATGGGGGTCCAGACCAATGACACACTGACACTTGGGGATCCAGAACAGTGACACACTGACGCTTGGGGGTCCCAGAACAATGACACACTGACACTTGGGGGTCCAGACCAATGACACACTGACACTTGGGGATCCAGAACAATGACACACTGACGCTTGGGGGTCCCAGAACAATGACACACTGAGACTTGGGGGTCCAGAACAACTATACACTGACACTTGGGGGTCCAGAACAATGACACACTGAGACTTGGGGGTCCAGAACAATGACACACTGAGACTTGGGGGTCCAGAACAATTATACACTGACACTTGGGGGTCCAGAACAATGACACACTGACACTTGGGGGTCCCAGAACAATGACACACTGACACTTGGGGGTCC